CCCCAAAACCCCAAAACCCCAAAACCCCAAAACCCCATCCTTCTGAAGGAATAATGAAAACTCCTTAATTTTATAAGGCATTGATAAGTATGTCACTGAGACTTTTATTGAATTTTAACAAGAAGTTCTCATGTTTCTTGTCTTCTTGGTTCAGATTATAAGCATCTTCAAGATCTTTTAGGCATGGAGAGTAATCTATAGTGCTATTAGAGAGGAAATATAGAGGTTGATACAGGAATAAGCATCACCAACCAAAGTTCTGGTCGATAAGTGAAGGATAGATTACCTTGTTTTTCTCGAAGGATTTGAGCTAGCTTAGTTGATCCTTTTTGATCAAGATATTCTAAGATTCTATCTTTCAAATCTTCTGCTGATCGCATTTCACAAGAGCCATAAATGAATTTTTGCTTAGCTTTTTCAAGGATAGCAAGATCTTTCCTGGCTCTTCATAATGATTTCTGGTGTTCCAAATTGCTAGCCATGTATTTCTTCAAACAACCATCTATTTTGGAAATGACAGTCTTTTTCAAAGATTTAGCGACCTTGGAGAACTCATCATTTTGATAATTGAAGTATTTATGATGGGTCTTTATGGCTAAATTTAGTGTAGCAGAAGCATTAGAAATATTCTTTCTCATTGAATGAATTTTCTGTAAATGCTGCTTAAGTTCATATCTTTTGTCAATGTCTCAGAGATCATGATCTGTGTGAGCCCCATCTCTAATTCAGCTTAATCAGACAAAGGTAAATCAGGTTTCACAAAAGAAAGATCCATATTCACTGTGAAATATTCATGTTTTATCAAGAGTATTATTTTGCTTGTCTATATTTTGATTGTTGTGGATTTCATCACTCAGTCTGTTTCTGATCAGATTTTTTGGGTGAATTTTATGTCTTCAAAAGGGACACTTTCTATTAGTTTTACATATATGATCCCATCAAGTCTTGCAGGCTTGGCTTGATCAGAACCTGCATATATAAATACCTTCAAACCTCTTGCTGTATCAGATTGTACAACTGAGAACATTCACTTCACCAGTATCGATCTCTAATATCATTGATTCACCTCTGATCAAGGTATCTCCCCCATGAGGTTGGATACAGAAAGATTTGATTGTTTTGCCTCTTACAGGAGAATCCACCAGCCACTCATTCTCACTACTAGTATCACTATGTTCAGATCTACTAAGCTCTTCACTATCGCTATCAGGGATGGGCATTGGCCTCAGAAAATCTATAAAAAGTCAATTATATTGGTTTAGAAAGCTAACTTACGATAAGTCATTGAGCTGGATGAATCCTCAGAATTCAAGGAATTCGTTGAATTCTGAGACTCCCTTGCTTCCAATCTTGGCATATTCATCATTTGATTATTCTAAATTGTTTACAATTTTATTATTAATAAGAGGGGTTTTGGGGTTTTGGGGTTTTGGGGTTTTGGGG